GGGAACCTGAAGGCAGAGGCCACTGAGATTGTAGGCTGTTATTCATTTACATGGGGTATTTGCATTAGTTATTTCTGGTCCCTGGTTCTGAGAGAGAAAGTGTTGGTGTGATCTCTGCCTCTAGACTTGGTTCTGTTGTGGTTTTGTTGTGTCATACTTACTGCTACTATCCTCTTACTGTCAAGCTCATGCTCACCCGGTGCTGTCTCATCTTGCTAGAGGGGTCTAGTCCAGAGGCATGTATTTGCTTTGCCATAAGGCCTCAGCCGTCAGCTCTTCTTCGTCTGGAAGGACAGAAGTGGACCCCCAGCTTGGCTCACCCTTCTTGTACAGCAGCTAGTTGGTTTAATTCCACTTTCAAGGTCATGGGCTCCAGTGGCCCCTTTGCTCTCCCTTGCCTGGAAAAGTGGCTTTTGTTGACTCATTACAGAGTGATCGGGGCCTTTCTGGAAATTTCATCTTTGTTCACAAAGATGGAACTGTAAGCATCTTATAGAGTGGAGTTGTCAGAACACATCTGTAATAAATCGGGCATTAGCTATGTTCTTCCGTCCTCTGGTTCTTGTGGCTTAGTTACACGTGCAGCTCCGAGTTTAGGACGTGTAAATCTAGAACTGCTTTATTTAATTGTTGGTGCCAGGAGTGGATGTGGTTGTGCTTATCAGAGTGCTTCCCTAACGCTAGCTGATTACTATTCACATTGGGTAGCAGACGAGGGTATTTGAGGATCTGGGGTTCTGTCCCATCCCTAGGCCTGAGCAGGGGAGTAGGGTGTACCCACTTTCCGATTGAAATCATGTTTAAGAAGCCTCTTAGCACTAGAGGTAGGACTTCCTAGTAAGCACCTAGTTGACTTGGAGGAAAAATACTTGGCAGCACGCTTTATGTTTAATAGCCATCGGCATTCAGGTTGTTCGAGGGCAGCTGACTCTGCTCTGAGATGTGAGTAAGTTATTAGGATGTGTGTGTGCAGGGAAGGCTCTCCCCTGGGTTGGGGACCCTGTGCTGTGCTGTGACTATTGTAAGATGCACACCTGGCATGGGGACACGCTGTAAGGGAGTCACTGTTGCCGGGTACTCTAAACTCTCAAGCAGCTCGAGTGCACACGGTGACCAGAGCATGTCACTTGCCTCTCCTTGTGGACGTTCCCACAGGGGACTGTCAGTCGCAGCTTCTGCTGCGGAAGAGCCCTGGGGCATCTGTCTTCACTTTGCCCTTTCCAGGGTGTGCTCGTGGGCTTGTGTGTGCTGACTTGGCTTTGCTTGAGAGTCTAGTTGCTCCTGACTTGTAAACCGGAGGGTCCAGGAGAACCGCTGGTTTGGGTAGTCCTACCAGCGTGGACTTCCGCAGTTCTTCCTGTCAGTTGGTGCGTTGAGGTTTTTGTATAGACAGCCACTGAAAACTGGTGGCTCATTCTGTCAACTCAGTCTCTAGATCATCTGGGAGACTGACCAGCCTTTGGGCTGTCTGCGAGGGGGTTTGCATATTAGCCTAGCTGTGATGGGAAGACAGCACCAGCTGTGGGTGTCACCATCCCGTGGGCTGGGGTCCTGGACGGCATAAAAAGGGTAAAGCAGGCTGAGCACCGCCTTTTCTTACAGCCATCTCTCCCTCCCCACCCCTTCTGAGCTCTTTGCTTCCATGCAGAAGCTCCTGATAGCAAGACTGTCCTTCCACTGTAGACTGTGAGCTCCAACTGTGAGCCAAAGCTGCCTTCCTTCCCTAAGTTGCCTCGTCTGATACTGTGACACAGCAAGTGGAAAAGTAACTAATGCACAGCCATTCTGCATATCAAAATTTCAGTTTCCTGCATCAGATTAGAAAATCATTGTTTGCTGCAGTTTCTGCTGACATGACTGAACCAGCATGGCAGGTCTCTGAAGTGACTGGTTTAACAATGTCCTCTCTCAGGCCCTTTTCATGCCTGAACTTGGAGGAGTGAGGGAGCTAATTTCCTGGTGATGATTCCCTGTGTATGTCCTGTGTAAGCCTGTTCCAGGTCACTCACCTCCACTTATTTTTTGTTTGTTTGTTTGGTTTTGATTTGATTTTTCAAGACAGGTTTCCTCTGTGTAGCTCTGGCTGTGCTGAACTCACTCTGTAGACCAGGGTGGCCTCGAACTCACACAGATCTGCCTGCCTCTGCCTTCCCAAGTGTTGGAATTAAAGGTGTGTGCCGCCATGCCCGGCTCCAACCTTGCCTTTGCGATATTCTTGCTCTCTAACAGGAAGTAAGAGGCTTGTGGCTGAGCCTTGGTACTTGGAGGTTAGTTTATGGCATGAATTTTCAGAAGGTAGCTGTGGCCACATGGCCTGTTCTCTGAACTGCTTGCTATTTTTCAGTTATTGTAAAAACAAACAAACAAACAAACAAATAAGCATAAAAACACAAACGTAGGAAACCATGAAGGGTGTTGGCTCTGGGTAAAGCGCTCCCGGCCAGGCCTGAGGACCTGGAGCCAGGAAGTTGAGATCCAGATCCTGCTCATCGTCCTTTGACCTCCACAAATGCACCTCTGTGCGGGTGCCCACACGGACACACGCTGTGAACACACATAAATGTAGTACTGTACCTTAGAAGAAGAACTTAAAACCCAGCCGAGATCTCACCCCCAGTTTAGAGTTTTGATGTGAAATATCGTATTTTTATTTGTTTGGATTTATTGTCAGAACTTAGAGACTATGGATAACAGTTTATCCTTCATTAGTCTAAATTTTAGTTTAAAATAGTTAAGATGGAGAAATAATTCCATTAATCAAATTAACAAAAACTTTAAAAAAAAAAGGCAGCTCGCTCTGTATGGTTTTCATCATTTGAAGTTGAGCGGTAGAAACAGTGGGTGGGGCAGACCCTCGAACCTGCATCTTTGGCTCATTTTTGCCATTTTTCACCTGTGGAATTCTGACATCAAGTTCTGGTAGCTAATGCAAGTCGAAGCATTTATACATAAAACCAAACAAGCGTCCTAGAGCATCACCTGCTTTCTGTAAGTGTAAGAGCCTACCAACATGAGTGGATTGCTGGCTTCACTGAAACTGCCGCCTGGGTGAAGCCACGGTCTCCAAGCTCAGGTGCTCAGTTGTGGGTTAGCACCCAGAAGCCTTACTGGGCGGCTTTTCTCATGTTCACTGTGCAGCATCTTGGCTCGTGTGCATATTGAGGACACACACCCATAACTATGGTTTGGTCTCTTTGTCTATGAAGAAAGGAGGGGAGCTTTATCTCATCTGGCTATGAGTCAGTGTCCAGCCCTAGAACACGGAAACCTTTAGTGATGGTTCCGTTTCAGCTCAGCTTCATCTCACAGTGCACAGCTGTGAAAGGCAGACACAGTGTCCCCAAAGCCTGCTCCCAGGCCTGGGCTGCTGCTTCCTTGGAGGAGGAAGCAGCTTGAATGTGCTCAGGTTATTCCTGAGGATGCCTCTTCCTTGTTTAACTCATTCCTCTGGATACCTGCCAGGGATAGGGGGACTGCATTAACGGTCCTGTCACTGATGGTCCTGAGAATCAGTGATCTAAAGTGACCCTTCAGAAGTGAGGCATGAGACCCATCTCTTCCAGTGTAAAGGGGAAATACCAATTTCTGCAACGATCTATGGCTACACCACAGCAAGGGCCTTGTTCTAGATTTTCAGGCTTTGCAGGCCTGGGCTAAGTACTTTGGAAGCTTTCTCTGAGCTGTGCAGTTTTCAGCACTTCCCCGCTGGAAGCCCATCATGTCCTCTCTGCCCTGTCCCAGGGATTCTTTGTGTGTTCTGTCCAAAGTTAGATCCCGCAGGTAGGCGTGGCCCGAGGTCCCTAGTGCAGCGGTCTGTAGACTCTAGATGCACACAACTCCATGTGCTGACACCTCAGCCTTGCACGGATTCTGCTGTCCTGGAACCTGTGGCAGTGTGTCTGCTTATAGGCAGGTGTTTGTGAGTGACATCAGGGCCAAACACCCAGAACTTTTTGTGAGGGCTCAGGGCCTCACGTTCCTTTGTGAATCCTGCTGCTTCTGACTGTCCACCGAGCTCCGCTGCGCAGCGCTGCAGGGCAGCCAGGTCAGTCACCCCTCCCCCTCCACAGCAGGAGGCTCACCATCTACCTAGGTTTGGCTAGGTCTCCATGCCCTCCCTGTGCTTCAGAGCAGCACTGGCTACAGCCCTGCCCTCACCCTTTCTCATTTATGCTGTGTGTTGACCAGTAGGCGTTGTGTGTGAGAACAGCTTTTCTAACTTTTCTGAAGATGTTAACTAAGGAGAAACATTAAATCCACTACCCCAAACAGTGCCCCTTCCTGTGTGTTCCTAGGGTTCCCATTGACCTCCCAGGAGACTAGAGTTTCGCATGAGCTGGGCGGATTGTGGGTGCGTGTTGATTTCAGGCGGTTAGTTGGTTGCACCTCGTCAGGATTTTAGCGGGGTTGACAGTGTTAGGAGAGATTCATTCTGACACGTTCTTTGTCCTCAGCTGGAGTGTGACAATGGGACACCAGCACGCCCAGCTCCCCTGGCAGCATTGCAGGCTCACGCTGTGCTCCAGCTTGCTGCTCTTCGCTTGACTCAGAGCGGAGCTCCTCTGCTCCTCCACTGTGGGAAGCACACAGGCCTGCAGGGGGTGGGCTGTTCTGATGTATGTGTGTGGCTCCGTGCTCATCTAAGGAGCTGCTATGCACCGTAGCCGTGTGTGTCTGAAACCTGCATTCATCCTGCTCTGCTGATTCGTAGCCTCCTCTCAGAGCCAAGGCCACCCTTGCTGTCTGAAGCAAGTGACATCCTGTGGGCAGGAAGGATGCTTTTCTAGAGCTGCCCCAGTGGAAGGCAACAAGGTGAAAGTGAAGTATTCCGAGCTGGTGTAAAGTGAGCTGCCCTAAAATCAGAGGGCTTCATTATCGCCGCTGCCGATTTGCTCAGGAAAGGGCACATGGTGTTTCTGGGTCTTGCTAAGAACATAAATACAGTAACCACTTTTGGGCCTGGAAGACAACTGAGCTTGCCTGTTATCTTTCTCTTGCAGGGGAGAGACCACACTACCCCAGGGACTGTGCCAGCGGGGCCCCTCCGAAAGGGGACCTAGAGACACGCCTCCAGCGCTCGCCCTGTGGTGGTGGTGACTGTGGCCTCACGGGCGACTGGAAGGCTCCCAGCAGTGACCATGGCCACCTTGGGGAAGAAGAGCCAGGGTCTCCTGACCACATACCTTAGACTTGGGAGCTTCTGCACTAGAGCAGACCGAGGGAGACGCCTCCCTTGGCAACAGTAGGGACAGCGAAGATGCTATGCCTAGAAGTCTGTGTAGCTCCTTCACACACGCGTATGTACTCATCAAGCGTGGCCTGTGTTCCCTCATGATAAGCAGTGCTGTTGGCGGGCACAGTGGGAGCTCAAGGCATCTGTGTTACTCAAGACAGGCGTGAGACACTGGAAAAGAGATACTGGTGTGTTTTGGATGGATCGAAGAGCTGAGCACTGTCTGGGGAGGTGATGCTGTTGGGATGAGGGGGTGGAGAGGTCTGCCCTGCTGCCTTTCCCTGCCTCAGTGGGTATTTAAAGTAGCAGGTAAGACAGGGGGCTGTGTTGGGCGCTGCAGAGGTCAGGCTTGGGAAGGCAGAGTGATGATGAGGTAGAGCCTCACGGGTCAGAGGTCTTGCCACAGCCCCCTCTGAGCCGCTCACGTCACCCTCACGCCCACTGTGTTTCCACCCTGCGGGCTGTGTCTGGCGCAGGAAACACGGCGGAGATGGGAACACACATAAGTCTGCTTTGGAAGAGAAACGTTAGTTGAACACTAAGAAGAGCGGGCATCTTTGTTTATTCTCAGGACCTTTTGTAACAGGGCTACATTCTGCAAACTGCTCACACGAGAAGACTACACGTCTTAACAGACAAGCCACTGAATCCTCCCAACCTGGGCCTGTTTTAGTGATGGCGGAAGAATCCTTGAGCAGATCGGAGGCCCTAGATTATTAGGGTGCTAGTGCTCTGGAGCCTTCTCTCTCCTCCTCCCCACCCCACCCTTTCCCTAGCAAATAGATGTCTCTCCCCTTGGGCCTGGCAACCCATTGGACAAGTGACTTTGTTCACAGATCGGTGGGGGTGCCAGGCCTGAGGGCGAGGACGGCTTTATATACCTCTTCCTTAGTCACGCAAGTTCACGTTTCTGCGGTGGGGTGAAGGCCCTAGCAGAGGCTCTGAACCCACGCAGCGTGCGTGGTCGGAACTGTATTCCGCAGGTAGCAGCTTTTCCTTTCCCCGTTGCTGTGACACTGTGTGATGGCGAGACTTCCGCAAGTCCCGGATGTTTGCACATATGATTTTATGCATTATCAAAAGTTACTGCTGCCTTGAATGGGAACGTTCTGTGAAATTTTTTGCAAAAGCTTTACTAGTTTTTTTTTATTGTGAAATTTTGTAAAGGCAGGAAATGGATTAAGACGAGCATGCTAAATATATTTTTCAAAAAAAGCAATAATTTTACATGTACAGAAATTATCCTAACCTTTAATGCTGGTGAGAGCGACAGTTTACTTAACACAGTGAGGATCAGTGCGGTTTTGTAGGAAATGGGCTTCTGATACAAAGACTTGTTTAAACACACATGTATACACGGACCTTGGTGTGTGGTTTCTGTTATGATGACCTGTTGGATTATTATTATTATTATATTATTATTATTATTATTATTGTTATTGTTAGCTAATGTTTGATTCTGGACTCTACTTGTTACTGTTTTAATTACTTGACCGTTCAGGTGACTGCGACACTTGCAAACAATGCAATGTTAACTGGCTAGCAGATACATATATATGTGTACATATAATTATAATTATTATTTTTTACTTATTTTTCCTGATATTCCTACACCGGTATGTGTGGGAACGGCTTGCCGTGTCAGAGTGCTTGGGAGTATCGGTCCTTCTGAGACGTCGAGCAGGTCGCAGAGACACATTCCTTTCCACCTGATGCAGCAGAGAACCTTTTTGTTGATGTGTGTTTGATCCTTTGGGTAGTTTCCCCATCATTTCTGCGTTCTCTGGCTTTTGGTTTTCTCGGCTGACAGTAAAGGTGACAGTTAGGAATGTGCAGGGGCCAGTGATTTGACCCCGTCTATTTCTGCTTTAGTTATTAAAAAAATTCTGTACACAAAGGGACACCAAGGTGTCGTCTGTGTTTTTCCTGTGTCTGGAGGTGCCCTGGGCTTTGAGAGCTGGAAGGGTCTGTCTTCTAGTGAAGGGAGTCTCCTTCCCAGTTGGTCTGATGGGGAAAGAGGGATACCCTGGGTCCCTGCAGCTGAGTGTCTGCCTGAAGAGCAGCCTGGAGAACAGCCATAAGGCCGTGAGGCCCCACCCCCAGTGCACACTCCAGGGACCAGCTGTGTGCTGGCCTGGGCGTATGGCCGTTTTGTCTTACTGACCATCAGTATTGGACTGGTTTGTTAATTCACTTATGTCAGCTCAACGGTAGTATTTAATATGATTTATGTTTTCTTATTTATTTAGCCAATCTGTTTTGGTTTGCTCCCTTCCCCTTTACCACCCCTTGATAATTTCCATATTTCTGACTGTTACAGATTTCCTCCTACCTCTACGAATCTGCTGTCTCCTTGTTTCCTGACGGGACTTTTACAGTATTGTGTCTAATGTAACTTAGACAATAAAGGGTTTGGTTGTCTACACTGCAGCTGCTCTGGTGTCTCCCCTGCCCTCCCCCGCGCCCTTCCAGACTCCTGCCTTGCTCATTCCCAGCCCAGCCACTTCTCACCTTTCTCCTGCCTCTCTCCCTTTTACCTTTCTTCTCTTACACTTCTTCCTCATGAGTGCAAATGATACGTGTGGAGTTTCTCAAGATATTTCAGGTGATTCAGAGAATGGAGATTTAAATTCACAGATAACAGGTAACAGTGGAGTCTGTCCCCTTAAGGGAGTAGCCCACTGTACCAGCCCACGCTTCTCCTGGTTCTTGGAAGTCTCCTCAGCCCGAGGTAGAGATGCTTTGGCCTCTTCCACACAGTATAGTTTCTAAGTCAAGTGGGCTTTGCTTTTTTGCTTCTGAAATGTATTAGATATTTTACAAAGTTTCCCTAATATTTACTTATTTATTTTTTAAGCCCAGAAAGACACTGGTTTCTGAAAATAAGGTGTCCCAGGCAGTACAAGGCCACTCTGTAAAAATAAAAGTGCAGGGATGTGCCCATGGGCTGCGAGGATGCGCCCGTGGGCTGCCGGGATGCCTCTTGGATTGGCTGCTGAGCACACCCAGGCCTGTCTGGGAGGCACTGGGACTGGAGTCACACTCCTTTCAGGCACCTTGTTCGGCACAGCAGGTGACCAGCTCTCCCTCTGGCTCCTCTGGGGCTGGTAGCTGTGGTCTTACCTCCTGGGAACCAGGGGAGCTGACCACTCTGCAGGTGGATGAGGGAGCCTTCCCAGTCAAACAGTAGGCACAGCTCTACAGGTAGGAAGCACTCTCTGGCCCCGAAGACAGGACCCTGAAGGCCGGCGTGTGTAGAGCATGGTTTGTTCTTTAATGCTTACATGTTTAGCAACTTATATTCACTGAGGGGGGAAAAAAAGGAAAAGTAAAAACAAAAAGCTACTCCCGAAGACGAGGCCTTCCAGTGATGTAAGGGTTCTGACACTGGTTATTGTGCAAAGTGCAGGGCCGTGGGACGTGGCTGCGTGAAGTGAGCGCCAAGCAAAATGTTCCTTCTTCACCAACTTCACTAGTGATTCTTGGAGGTGGTAAGATGCAGAAGACCATAGAGTTTGTATTTCTTTTTAAAAATACAGTTTATAATGCTCTATTTTGTACTCTTTATATTAGAATTTGTAACTAGATTGATGTATTTAACTATTTCTAAGAAAAAGTAATTCAATGTTACAGCTGTGTGATAAAAAGTATTTAGATACAACATCTTCACTCTATTGGAATTTGAAATAAATAAAAACGTCTTGGAGTTGTAACACATTTGCCCCTCCTTTGGAAGGTGGCTTGCATCTTTTGACAGCCCGCCTTGACCTCTGATTATCTCTTTTTTAGTGGCTGAACACACAGCCAAACGTTACTGTTCTTTATTTGTACACTTTTACAACAAGCCACCGGATGATTCAACCAAAATGGATAGGCACCCTCCATCTTTTGTGGATTCGATATGTCTTTTTTGTTTTGTTTTTAATGAAAAGCTGTTCTCAGTTTTTGCTGCATTGTTTCCCTTCTGCTGCACGAACACTGTTTTAATTACGATCAGACAAGCCCATAGTGCAGTGGGATTTACAGCAGTGTGTGGGGAGGGGACCTGGGTGCTGCAAGCCCTGGCTGGAGTTTCCGACTTTGGGCATCCGACAGCCTAAGACCTCTGGCCTTCTGATGGGGCAGTAAAAACAGGAAGTCCGGCCAGCAGGTGCCTAACAGAAGTATGTTCTAAAGGTAAAGGTGTATGTGTTCGGCCCACCTCTAAAAGGGAGGAGCCAGTGCTTGGACGTGGCTTTTGGATGGCAGTGAGGTCTGGTCCCCTGTACCTGCTCCCCTAGAGCCACAGGCCGCCTCACTGCACCCCCCTTGCTGTGCTGCAAGGTCAATTGTCATTTTCCAGGGATTTCCTAAGTGGGGCCAGACTGAACGGTGGATTCAGGTGAGGCGTGTGGCTCCCCTGGACTTTCCTGCCGTGAGTGGCTGGTTTACACAAGGAGGAGATGCCCAGCTCCTGAGAGCAGGAGAATACCAAGTCCTCAAAGGGTGGCTGAGCTCAACTGCAGCAGCCTCTGGGATGTGACAGAGCCAAGCCCAGGGCCCAGGGTGCACCAGCAGGTGACTGGCTCACAGACTTGATGCCTCTGTGTTCACACCCACGTTCGCAGCTTGCCTTGTTCTGCATAGAAACTCCACTGTCCTGCATCTCTGTCCCTCCCTGCAACAGGAGGAGATGCATGCACCACCTGCTTGGAGCTAGAGCACTTCCTTGGCTTTTGGGAGGGGAGAAGACCAGCCAATGATGACTGTTCCTGATCTGAGTGCAAGAGCTGAGCATGTCACACACCCAGACACAATTGACCCTGAAGTGGTGAAATGGATGGTGCCTTCACCTTCCCTTTGGTACTCTATATAGTCAACTTCTAATTGATGTTCAGTCTTTCCTTCCTTCCTTCCTTGCTTCTTTCTCCTTCCTTCCTTCCTTCCTTCCTTCCTTCCTTCCTTCCTTCCTTCCTTCCTTCTTTCTCTCTCTCTCTCTCTCTCTCTCTCTCTGTCTCTTTCTTTCTATAAATAACACTAGAGGGACTAGCAAATTGAAGTAAAAATACCAGCTTTTTGCTTGTGGGCCAGACTTGTTCAGTACCATACTCTGAGGTAATACAAGGCCTAGGACGACTTCCAGGGAATTCTATAGGGGTCCTAGGAGCATGCAGTCAAACAGCCTGTTAGATTTTCCATGTTGGAAGAGAGAAAAAATAAAATAGTGAGAGCTCTTCTTTCTGGGCCAGACCTGATAATGAAATGCTTTCGTTTGGGTCATTCCGAGGCAGCAGATTCACTGCTCTCAGTCTGGGCAGTGGGAAACCCAGGAACCAGGCACTGGGGATTTGGCATTTAGTAGGAGCTAGCTCTACCTCCGTGGTTAGCTTTTCTGGGCCCTCCCTGGGTAGAGGGAGATGCTCTTGCCACTTTTTCATGAGGACACTGATCCCTCCCAGGATGGTTCTGCTCCGAAGACGGAGTCTCCCAAAGGCTCCACTTTAGATGTCCACAGTGGAGGTAAGTTTCAGGATGTATGTCCTGGGTGTCCAGGGCCAACAGCCATGGCTCTTCCAGCTGAGGAAGATGTGTAGGGTCCCATGTTAAGTGCTTGGCTTGGCAAGAGTACGATGTCAGAGTGAACTGTGGCTCAGCCTCTAAAAGGCAAGGATCCCTTGGCAGTGTGGCAATATCTAGGTCCTAACAAAGGTTCCTTCTGCCCAACTTACCACCCCATCACCTTTTCTGAACCCTCCCAGTCACAGGAAAATGAACAGACAGAGAGTCAGAGAAAGAGCTGTATACAAAACTGACACAACTGGGTGCAGCTGTGAAAGGCCTGGGGCTCAACTTTGCGATTGGGATGTCGTCTTTGCTGAGTGCAGCCCAGGCCCAGCATCAGGAGTCACCAGGAAGTCAGCTATGGGACAGTGGGATGGCTTGCCA